CACTCCAGCAAGCGTAGCTGTACAGCTTGGTTTTCAGCACTTACCACAGTTAACCTTGGAAGGGCTCCTTCTGTTTAATCCATCACCCCTCCATGCCTGTTGCAAAGGGCAGTGAAACATAGCTCTGCCACACAGACACTTGGGATATGCCCTAGGCTAGAGACTCCCTATGTGTTTTAGCCTCTTGAGCAATTGAAATAGGAAGGGCCATGTTAAAGTCAGGGGTTGGGTTTCCCCTACCCCTAGCAAAAAAGACAGGTCTGTGGACCCCCTTCCACTCATGGTCCCACAGTACAAACCTTTTTTTTTTGTTTTTTGGCTTATGAAATTCTTAATACTTATATTATTCATTCATATTATGAATTAGTTGAATTTTTATACTCTCGCTTATGTAGCTGTTGGTCCATGTCACAGCTATCTAGCCATGACTTCTTGCTCTTATCTTCAGAAAGTCACACACTGATTAGTTAATAAATAGTTCTTAACTATAGGAATAATTATGGTCTTCAAAAGACTCTATTTACATAACCAAGAACTCCTAGGTGTTAATCTTATAGCTAAAAGGGACCTTAGACACCCAGGTCTTAGAGCCGAAAGGCAGTTTGCTTAGGGCCACATAGGCACAGAGATGAGGCCCAACCTTGAGTATTCTTGCTCCAGGCCCATTTCTCTTTATACGTTCTCATTGCCTCTCTAACTTCTCATTTTCTTTCTCTGCTGCAAATGCCCCAAATTCATAGAAAAGGAAAAAAAAGGAGAGAGAAAAGGTCTGAATTTTAATTTTTGGCTTCCATGTTTGGAGGATTGCTTTGGAGGATTAGTTTTCTTGCTCTACAGCTTGTTTCTCTATCAACTTGAGGAGGAAGAGACTCCCCAAGCACTGAGTCAGCCACAGGTCCGTCCTCTGCCACCCTCCCCCAGCCAGCCAGTGCCAACGCAGCCCCCCGCACTGCAATGCTACCACCCTCTTCCCTGGAAAGGATCTGGACAAGGCAAGCAGACCCGCATGAGGGCAGCCCCTCAGCTGGGGAAGCCAAAGCACAAGTCATCACTGCTCTCGTTGGCTCGAAGTCCCGTGTCCCTCAATGCCTGCCTTGATGGCTTTGGCTGTGAGAACAGTCCTTACAAAAGAGGCTCCAGCCACAGGCACCCTACAGCCAGAGTTTCAGGAAACTGGGGTGAAATGGGCAGAACAAGAGTTTGTCCAAAGACCGAACGGGACAGAAGGTTCCCACTGCTCGGAAATCTATCTGTGTGTTCCAGAGACTTGCAGAACAAAGACCTACACATGGTTATTTTGGCAAGAACAGGAAGGTTTAGATTATCCTTTTCCACCCCGTGAAAGTGGCCACCTAAGATGTGCGTGCTGAAGGAACATCTGTTTTAGCACTAACAGAGCCTCGGCGAGGGCCTCCCCGTGGCCTTCACGGCAGGCACAGCACCAGCTATGGGAGAGCGGCAGCTGTCGGATACACATGCAGCTAAGGGTTTTGTCTCTCCCTTTCATCTCAGTGTTTCCAAAGCGACCATGGGCATCGTGTGTGCTTCGATGGGCTCCTCCACCTTCGGCTCCTATCAGCTCCACCAGCAGCTCTGGAATATCCTGCAAGGCCACGTCTTGCCTCCCTAAGGTATTATTTTTGGAGAGTGCATTTAGGAAATGACAAAATCAAAATATCCAGCATAAGCCTTTGCACATCTTTTGTGCATTGGGTGCCTGAAGTGATGGAATTGCATCTGGCGGCATATGCTGTGTGTGAGACAGCTAGCCCCATCTGGAGCCCAGGTGTGCGCGTTCACCTCCGAGTCCCCGATATGCATATCGGTGAGCAGTGAGAGCCAGGCAAATCCAGCTCACCTACCTTTGTTCCACAGAAACGGTTTTAGTCTTTGATGTGCAAGGTCAAAATCGAATTTTATTTGTAGATCAGGTTTAGCTGCAATCGAGCAGATGAATACACAGGAAAGATGGGATTTTGTAACTTACTGTTGCAAGTCAATGTGGCATAATGGTTAAGAGTCTGCATTTTGAAATCAGAGAAACCTGAGCTCAAATGCCAGCTCTTTTATGGTTTTCTGTAAGACCTTAGGAAAAGAAAGCAATTTGTCTACGTTACCATTTCTTTATCTATTCTATAAATAAAATTATAGTTTCTACCTGTGAGGATCATGGTGATGATTAAGAAGGAGCCCTGGCTGGTGTAGCTCAGTGGATTGAGCGTCAGCCTATGAACTAAAAGGTCACCAGTTCGATTCCTGGTTGGGGCACATGTGTGGGTGTGGGTCAGGTTCCCAGTTGGGGTGTGCAAAAGACAACCCACTGTTTCTCTCACACATCAATGTTTCTCTCCCTCTTTTTCTCCCTTCCTTTCCCTCTTTCTAAAAATAAATATATAAAAATCTTAAAAAGAAGGAGGATATTTGTGAAAAAATAAAATGTCACATCATTATGGCACAATTAACATATTATTATTAAACTAATAAGCATGGACTCTTTCTATTTGACCCCTTTCCAAATACTTCCACCCATCTTCTCCCAATGTTAAAAAATGTCCTTATCCTGAACCAAATTTAATTCCCCTTGTCTTCTGCTCCTTTTATTTTTATATACCTTTTGGATCCATATTTTACACACTGAATCCCTTTTCATGATGACAGAGACTAGGCCACTGCATTGCACAGATCTAAGGGACACCCTTTGCTTTCTAATCTGTGTAAATGGCACCCCCTGGTGCCAGCCCTACAGGAGAGGTGACTAGGAAGGATGGAAGGGAAGAAGGGCTGTAGAGAGACTGGCCATGTTCCTTTTCCTGCACATCCCTCCGGAAGGAAGGATAACACTAATGTCCTGCCTTCTCCAGGCAAAGCAGCAGCGCCTGCACCAATGCTTCTTCACGCAACACGATTTCGCATCAAAGCCCAGCCGTTACCCTTGGACCATGCTCCTCTAAAAGTGAGATACCCAGCTCTAAGTCAGCATTCCAGGTGAGACATGAATAGACCAAACCGACCAGACCCTGACCTTCATTTTCCTAGATACTGAAATCAGGATGCCAGTGTGATACAAGGTGATCTTAGTATTGAGTCTTTATGACAATTATTTTCTGGACAATGGCTTTGGCCTTTAATCACACACTGTCCTGCAATATCTCTTCACTTGCCATGAATTTTTACTTACTTTGAATAGTTATTTCACTTTATAAACATTTGTATCTTTTCACAGTCTCTATGTTGGGAGTTCCCTGAGACACATCTGTGTTTTGAACATTTTAGTAGCCTCTGTTAAATCTAGCACCATGTCTGGGTCAATAAAACTGTGTCTAATTTGAATATGTAAGTAGACCAAAGCAAAGGGGCAGTAATTACTAAAATCTAAAATGCCTACTGTGGTGATGCAATAAATCTATTCTGTGTGCACAGCATTCCTGGGGTAAAATGCCTTGAAGAGATGGCAGTAAATTCTTGTTTGGTTGATGAATTATAATTCCCCAAAATGCAAGCCTCACACTTACGGGAGCCCTTAGTAATATTTCTTCCCTTGGGGTTTGCTCGCTCACATTTTGTATACAGGCAGTGATTTTTGAACTACACTCTGTGGGCCTGTGGTTCCAAAGGGACGTCCCAAGGTGTGTGGGAGGGGCACAGGGAGTGAGAGCAGAGGGCGGGGCTCCTGTCAGCCCTCCCGTTCCACCTGAGCTGTTGACCTTTACCTGTTGTATGTACTACACTTCACTGTAATAATTCCTTTTGGGGAAAAATCATTAAAAACCATCAGTTAAGCCACTCCCTGGTCACTTCAGTCTTATGGAATATTATTCCTTCCACGTTTTCTCTTTTATAATGAATTTCTATATGGAATGGATTTGAAGATGTCAAAATTCGGTTTTGAATTGCTAAATTTGGCCCTGAAATGTTTAAAACTCTCAAGAACCCTGATCTAAAGAAAAAGTAACCCCGCTATTTCCGTCACCAATGCTGTCAAGCATCCTTCCATCCCCTCAAAGGACCTTGGACCTGGAGGGACCCTGAGGATTGACAGATGCCTCCTTCCGAATCTGTACTAGTTGCATTTAATGAACCAGGAATGAGGAGCTCATCTGAAAGTAAGTTTAGTTTAGAAATGTATGTTTTCATTTTGAGGGATTCCGCCCACTTCGATATTTTCCATTATACTTAAGGGAACTCACATGTATTGTGTATCTCCTATACGAGGTGCTATTAAATTCAGAGTAGGGTTAAAACAGAAAATAAAATATAAAAATAGCCTTTCTGTTTCTCTATAACTAATCCTCATAAGTCCCCGTCCTCCTGGGCCAGCGGGTGGGGGCTGGAGAGTGAAGAGAGAATTTTCCACTTCCAAGGGTAGTTGGATTCAAACAGTCTCTTCAAGTTTATTCTTTACAATAACTGAAATATCTTTAGGAAAACGGTTAATAAGTTAGGCTTCCCACCTCCCCCAACCAGGATAGCATCTGACCGAAGAAAGAAGCTTCATGTCCTCACAGTGATGAAGAAGAGGGTCTCCCAGCTGGGGACCTGGCCCCATGTGTTTGGCTAGGTCTATACCCTGGGGACCTGTCTAATATCTGTGGTTAAATTTCATGGTTAATAAAACATGTTGTTTGTTGCTGGCCCCAGCTCTGGTCCCCTCACATGGTCTGGTTCGGGGTATTAGTACATTCAAAACTGGCTCTGTCATGCAGCATATTCACTGGTCTCTGCTAGACATCACTGCATAGCTTCCTGACACTACAGAGGCATGACGTTCTCCCTCCCCGACACCTAGACTGGGCCTGCCCCGTAGCCATTGAGTGAGGTTCCTTTTGATCATGGGACACTTCACTTGGGATTGGTGCGATCTTCCCTAGGCCCTGGAAAACCTGTGAATTCACATGCATTGCATGTTAACTTCATTTTTGAAGAAAACCTATGCTCTATCCCTGATCATTATGCCAGCATTTTGCCTTTTCTAATCCATCGCTTAAAAGACGTCATGTTCAATACTCGCCTGGCAGGGTGCGGATCGTGATCGTGAAGGCGGTCTCCCAGGCCAGGCTGAACCCGTGGCACCCTGATGTGCTGACCCCTGTGATTTCCCCAAAGGGGAGAAACTCAGTTGCATGATTTATGGTAGTGGGGGGCTGCGTCCATGCTTTTCTCTGGGGGAAAAAAAATAAAAGATACCATGTTTAATGCAGGAATTCTTTAAAGGGACTTAACATTTTCTCAATCTTCCCAGGGAACCCTCTCTTCTCCAGATTCCCTTGAAGTTATTTCCTTGGACTCCTTTCTGGAGCTTTAATTCCGCTTTCTACCTGATAGAGATTCTCTGACGCAACTCCCTTCACCTCCCCAGGGTCATAGTGATGGCAAGAAAGCTGCCAGAGGAAACCCTAGCGGGAGGGGTTTTTTATAATTATAGTTTTCCTTGCAATAGCCTCAAAGCTATCATTGGTATTCTCATTTGCAGATAAGGAAACTGAGGTGCAGAGTGGTTATGTCACTTCCCCAAGTGATTGGACCAGGACTCACAGTAAATCCTCTGCTGTCCTATCACACCAAACCACCTTCCGAGGACCCGACCCACAGGGGACAGACAGGGCTGAGCTGTTTTCCACTGACATAAGTTGCTCCTCCACTGGGTACCCTCAGCCCTTCAATCTGATTTGCCTTTCAGGTTCGCGCCCCAGCCCCAGCCCCAGCCCCAATGCGGTGCAGGAGAGGAGAACTACATGGCCTTTTAAGCCTCTTAGTGGGGAAGTCATTTAATTTGAAACTAACATATCATCCCTGCAATTGCAATTTGTTTCTCTGTGAAAACAAGTGAAATGTTCCCTTGCCTGTCACCACTCCCTTCAGAACCAACTAGGGACTATGGCAAAGTAGCAAGTTTACAATAAACGATAAAAGGGGAGCGCGGAGGCATTTTAAAACAAGTCCGAACGTTTGGCTGGAGCCCAAAAGACAGCTCTCTTTGTCCATTAGGATTCTCTCCTCCACGGTTTTCTACAGGGGCTGGAATTTCTTGGGTCATGTTATAAACATTCATCTTCTAAATCAAGGCCTCTGACAGAAAGAACAGGAGATGAAGCGTGTGTTGTAAGTCACTGTCCTGCAGAATGTGCTCTGCACAGGGTAATATAACATGCGGGGTCAGCCCCTGCGTCAAAGACCAAATACACAAGTGTAAAGAGATGGGAGGAAAAAGACAGACTCCACATGGCCGGCCTGGGGGACGCTGGGGTGTCCGCCCCTCTATGGAGGAGTCTTGGAAAGGCTTGTCGGGGAGGAGTGGAGGAGGACATGAAATCACTGTGCTCTGCAGCGGTCGGGGGCAAGGATGGGAACAGATGTGTGGGTGCGGGGGTCAGGCTCAGGGGAGCAGGGCGGAGAGCATGGTTGGGGCAGTCAGGCAACTTCTTGGCTGGTGTCCGATTAGTCGAGAATCAGTTGAAAACTAAGGAAGGCACCTTTTCCCCAAGGCCTCCAACGCCTTATGGACTGATTCCCCAAATCTTCCTCTCTCCCCATCAACTCTGGATGCAAAGGGGAAAAAGGTTTGTGCCCTACTGGCAGAGCAGGCAACGCGGGGAAGTGTTTCTGTCCCTCTCTCTCATCGATCTTTTCTTCTGTAGCCAAATAAATCTTTTAGCTTTTTTATTCCTGACAAGGAGCCAAGCAATATATACGTTCCCCCTGAGCCCTACATTCCTCAGCACCTATGCAGGAGCCCGCCCTGATGAACCTTCCTGAAGAACTGAGAAGCTGTGATTTGCCCTGTCTTGTTAGCCTCACGCTCCTCCCCCCCAACTTCTGTTACTTCTGCTATTTAATTTAAGCATCACAACCCCGTGAAACAAAGTCAATAGGCAGAGCACTATGAAAGAAGTCTGAAGTCTGGTTCTGCTTCTAATTAGCTGAGTGGCCAAGTGTAATGATAACAATGCTGAGGCTATGTTAGGTACTTTGAGTTATTATGCTAGGAAAATGATTATTAGTATTTTAAAATTTTTCTAGTACCTAGAAGCTTTGGTACATCATTAACTTATTTTTCCCCGTGGTTATTAAATTTGAAAACTGAAGTCCACAAAACTGGAAGAGTTTCCTGGTTCTCAGGGTCAGGGGAAGAAGGGAGTGTGTGCCTGCCAGGATTTTGTGTCCTTTCCTTCCTTGGGATCCAAGTGGGAAGACAGGTGATTGTAGTAGAAAAGGGCAAGTGGGCGAGTCCCTGAGAAATTTAGGGGACAAAAAGGAAAGAAGCAGGATGTTGCTCCGGAGACGTGCATCCATGCAATGAGCCATGACTGCTCCCCGCGGCACTGCTAAAAGCCAGAGCCGGCCGCTCATTCGCTAGGAGGCCACGGGAAGTGACGTTGCCTTGATGAGCTTCGGGTCCTGCTTTGTATGATTAGCAAAGGCCAGTTAGTGACCATACTCGGGGGACACAACTGTGGTTCAGGCTTCCTCTCCCAGCCTGACTATCTGTGTGTGACCTTGGATGAGCCATTGAACATCTTCTGATCTCATGTTCTCATTTAAGATGGAAATATTCATGCCTATCCTACCTTACAGATAAGTGTGATAATGCTAGGGCCAGTACTTTTAAATTCAAGGACACATTTATGAAGGGGTTGACACGTGGTTACACAGGTCCCTTTTAGCTAAGACATATTGGACTTTTACAGTGCGGTGACATTATTTACAGGAAACCAGCCTTGCAAAGCCTCCAGCCGTCCCGCCGCACCATGTGGCTACTCCTTGTTTCTGCAGCTACAGGTTGAAGAGAGGCTTCTTATGGGGCGCTCACTCAACAGGCGTCATGATCTTATTTCTCTGCTGATCAGAGTCTGGCCAAAAATAAAAGCATTCCCTTTTATTCTGGCAGTCATTTTCTTCTCCTTTCTAGAGTCACTTAGCAAGGTCAAGTGCAAGGAATTGAATTCCTTAGAAGAGGATTCCCTGATTGCCTGGGAGAAATTAGTTCATAGTTAAGATGGGTGTGTTGAGACTCCTGTGGCTTTCTCTCAGAGTCTTTGTAAATTAAACCAAAGGTGGATAGTGTTGACCCAGGCATTAACTATGACTATTTCTTATGGGCTGTTTCCAGTGCCTTTTGTGAATTTCATCATCCTTTCTTATGGGATGGGTGGAGTGGTGGTGGGCTTTGTTTTCTGTTATTGATTTAAATTAATCTCAGCTCATCCTGTCTAAACACTGAACTGTGTACACAGGTGGACAAGCTATTCATCTTTAAGCATTTAAGTCCTGCCTGCTTTTGCATATTGATATAGATAAACTATCAAGTTGCAAAAATATAAGGATCATCTTCCAATAAGAGCTCTCATACTGCTTCTAGGTTATCAAAATAGAAAAGAAGCATTTAGCTCTGGAATCTATACTCTGATTTTTTTTTTAAAGAGGCTAATATTGAGGAAATTGACTAAATCTTTGGATTTATCAAACTTGTTGACCTGTTTGGAAAGCTCCAACTCTACTACTTATTAACTGTGTGTTCTTGCATAAGTCACTTCACTTTCCTGAGTGTCAGTTCAGTCTCCTCATGTAAAGATGATGGTAGGGTACAAAATTATACTACATAGTTTCTTTTAAGTATATATTGATTTTACTTTTAATATGCAATGTTTTCTCTTCCCTGTGAGCTATGATATAAGGACATGTAGTAGCTTTTGTTTCTCATTGTCATTACCATGGTACCTTGGACATGGTAGATGTTTGACATGTATTTATTTGATGGAATAAAATAGGGTTCATTGTAAGGGGTGTGGACTCAGAGCATCGGGATGGTTTCCCAGTGGCAGCATCACAGACTATTCTCATTTTGCAGAGGAAGAAACTGGGAGGGGAGGGGAATTCTCCTCAGGCGGGTCAGCTGGCAAGCCCACAGGCACGGTCTTGGGTGGTGAGCCTAGGACTAGCATCCAGACCATCTAAATCTCAGTTCAGTTTCCTCCCCACCATATACAACAGCCCCGCACATCTTATTTCACTTATTTAAGAAAAATACATAAAAATAAATGATGACATATTTATATATATGAATAATTTTAACTCCACCCTAAATAATCAGAGTCCCAAATCAATGAATCCTAAATTGTTTTCAATTTTTTGATTAATTGAGATTAAATTTGATTTAATTATCTTAAAACTCAGAGAAAACTTTGTACCCTCAAGATGTTTCAATACAGCAAGTTCAGAGATAGAGACAGGGAGTGGGTTCCCTTTATACAGGAAAGTCTTTGAAGGCCTCTTGGATGGGGCAACACTTGGAAACTGTAGGAAGAGAGTGGGTAAGCAATACAGGTGTCTGGGAAAGAGCATCCAGACATAGAGAACACCAAAGGTGAAGGAAAAGGCAGGGCACGTGCAGACCATCCTGGCTGCAGTACAGTGCAGGGAAGGAAGAGCAGGAAGAGACAAGTCAGAGACAGAAAGGCCACCTTGCATGTGTGACCAAAGGATATGCAGGACCTTGGCAAGGATTTAATATTTTACCTAAATGATCTGAAAGTCTTGTAGAGTAGAGAGCAAAAAAGAAAGTGACCTCATTTACATTTTATGTAGGGAAGCAAGTGTGCCGTCGGGACCACTTGGAAGTCCAGGCACAGGATGATGGTAATTTTGACTAGGCGAGTAGTACTGGGGAAAGTAAGAAGTTGTCCGATTTAGTATATATTTATAAGATAAAACCAATAGAATTTGCCACAAACTGGAAATGGGTTGAGAGGTGGGAGGGAGTCAAAAATGACTTCAAGATTTTTTACCTGAGCAGATATCAGAGAGGAGCCACTGGTAAATGAAGTGGGAGAACAGAAAGAGAAGTAGATAGGGGCTGGGGTGGAAATGAAAAGTTTATGTTTGGGAATAAGTTTGACATTCATATTGGATATTCAACTGGAGATGTCAAATGGGAAACTGGGTGAAGTCTGGAGTTTAAGAGAAAAGTCAGGCTGGATTTATAAATTTTGAAATTGTCAATGGAAAGATGGTATTTATAGCAACTGGATAAAATAACTTTAGGAGGTGTAATTAGAGAAGGGTTCCCAGAACTGTGTCCAGGGGCATTAAAAGGAGTCCTTAGGCATTCCAGTACCTCGATATCAGGACTATGAAGAAGAACCTTATAAAACAAAAGAAAATGAGA